AATGCCTGGAAGAAAACCATATCTGTCAAGAAAAGGGAAAAGATTAATGTACAGAGAAAAAAAAGCTTTTATGTTTGTATTGTCCTCAACAAACAACGCTCATGGAAAAAATTATGTATTTAAGTGAATAAGAAATTCAGTGAGCATTACTGTTAGCTCACCATAAACTCTTCAGCTATGGAACATTCCAAGGACATATTCTATTGTCATCATAGAAAGCAACAGTTGGTACTGCCATCTCTGAATGTTTGCTTATGCCGCTTTCACCTAGTACATTAGTATAATGTACTTCACTTTTGGTGAAAATACATACTATAGAGCCTAAAGGATTAATTTCAAATAAGACCAATATTTATAAGTACATAGACAGGTAAAAAGAATAATACACTAGTACATATGCATCTAAGAACATAATTTGTTGTTTAATCCTAACTTTTCTTATCAAGAATAAAAAACTGAAAACTTGTCATTTATTTTATGTATCTTTTGTCACAAAACATAAAAATTGAAAATCAAAGTTTACTCCTTTTTTCATTAATTTTTTAAATGGTGAAGAAAAAAGCCCTTAATATTCTGCAACCAAGTTTTATTTTCAACAAGAATCAAAACTATCAAAGACAGTTTTTCATCATGTAAAAAAACTTGATCACAGATAATAAAATTGCAGAAACCTAAAAACCTAAATAACCATGTAAATGGTTCTATGGTTTTTGAGACAGATGGTAGAGTACAACACTAATGGGTTATGAATTCCAAGAAGATTGTCCTCCAGAATATAACAAAAATGACTGAAGAAGCAGGAATATAAAGTGGAATCAAAATAGAAAAATCACATAAAGTTTTAAAAGATCAAGAAGACAGAAACAGAGAACATATAGATTATGTTAGAATCATTCTGGAAAGAAAATAATTTAGAACGGAAATATTATGCTTATGTTAACAGAAGGGAATAGGAATGTGTTTCAACAAGATAACTAACATCATCTGCTTCATTCCATGTCATGTACAAGATGGTAAACTTGTCTATCAACCACTTTATCGATTGCTGCTGGCCAAGAAGTATGCCCACCAACCAAAGTCATTGTAGGGAACTCTTAAATCTACTCATCTAGTTCTAAGCTATAAAACATGTGAATTAGGAACCATTGTCAAAGAGAAGTTCTCATTGAAAAGGTCTTGTAGTCCCAGTAGGACTCAAAAGAACCAAAATTAAAGCACAGACTATCCTATTGAAATGAGGATCAACAGTCAGTTTGTCAAAGGCCACTAATAAATGAACTCCAAAAAAGGTATGAGAAATACAGTGTAGTAAAATATTTAGGAGTAACAACTTCAATATTGACTCTGTCTTGGGTCATTTACCAAAATAAAATAACTAAATGGCTTGCAAATGCATATTAAGGAGCATGGTAGTTATAATGTGCATAATATGTTTGTATGTAGTATGTGTATATGTAAGTACATATTTTCACCTACCTCTGCCTTATCTCCCACCACTCTCTTTCCCTTCCTCCGTACTCCAGCTCTGCTAGCCTTCTCTCAGGATGTATCATGCTCCTTCCTTACTCAGTTTTCTCATCTTCTCTTCTTTTGCCTGGTTCTCTACCCCTTTAACCAGATAACTCCTGTTTAGGCTTAAATTTCTTTCACATGTAATTTCCTCTTTACAGCTTCACAGAAACTTGCAGGTTTCCTTCGTTTTCCTACTTGTGGCTAACTGTAATATCTAGGTCTTATATAAACAATAAACTCCAAGAAAAGAGGGATCTTATTATTTTTGGTTTTCTTTCTTTCATAAGTGTTTTCCCAGTGCCAATACCTAGCCATAAAAATAGCTCAATTAATATTTGTTGAATTACTAAATGAAGGATCGTCTTAGTGATTAGGGTGTTATTCTGGATACTTTATAAAATCCCACTGTTGCTCAATGATTGAATGTCCAAAGGGAGATCTTTTTTGGTATGAGCCATGACTGAAAAATAATGTTTAAATTTTTAAAATGTAAAAGACACAGTGCAACTAACCCCCTTCACAATACTCCACCATCACTTTGAACACACTTATCGTATTGTTTTTGCCACTTTCTGAAGTGGTTCTGGAAGTTCTTTTGTGAGTGTCTTTAATTGCACTGTTGTGGCTGCCTCAGTCTCCTGAATTAATTCAAAACATTTATCTTTCATGGTCATTTTGACTTTGAGGAAGATCCAGAAGCTGCATGGTGCCAGATCTGGTAAACAAGCTGATTGAGGACACTCCATAATGTTTTTATGAATCTGTTTTTCCATTAGATGGCATTTGACAGCAGGATTCACCATAATTTTGTTCAAACCTTGGAAAGATACTCATGAAAGAGAACTTCCCGAACTGCTTCAGAAAGTGGCAAGAATGATGGAATAAATGTGTTCAAAGAAAGAGGGAGATTAATGGCAATATGTCTTTTACTGTAATCATTTTTTAAACTCTATAGTTTTTGTTACCTCTTGCACATTATTGCTTGAATTTATTTACCTTCTGAAAGCAAATGCAAAACTCAAGACTGTCCCTGAGAATATTTTGGTGATCAGAAAAGTAACCAGAAAAAAATTCAGCCTGTAATTCAGGAGAAGAGAGGAGCTAGATGATGACTCTCTTGCCTGTTCAGGCTGGAGAAGGAAGTGACTCTGTTGACATTTAGTTGTGTACAATGAAAACTTCATGGACCATGACAAGGAAGGATCTCCTAACCGAGTGGCAAATACCAAGAGCTCTTCATGAGCCTGGAGTGATTTCATAGAGACCAGGAACATGATATAATTTGCTTTACAAATAAGATGTGTTATTATTTTAATCTAAGCAATGTGGTCACAGTACCACACCTCTTGAGAGAAGGCCCTGCTCTTGGGAGTATAATGGAAAGGCCATTAAGTTGGGACTACAGTAGAATATCTAGTTACACCTATAGGTCTAAGGGAAAGTGCTACTATTGTCAAGGTATATGGCTGATTTGCTGTGTGTTACACATTGTGAAAGACTAACTCACTGAGCCCTGGCTCCTCATAAGCAGACCCTATCAGGAATAGCCCTGCTCAAAAGTGTACAGTATGGGCTTGGGATTTAGCCCAGTGGTGCCGTGCCTGTCTTGCAAGTACAAGGTCCTGAGTTTGATCCCCAGTACCAAAAAAAAGAGTGTAGAGTACACTATTAACATATAAGCATAATTTGATTTTCCTTCCCACACACCAATAAATTTGAGAAATACTGAATCTACATCCTTCTTGGAAAGTCAACAGGTATTTAACCCACTGATGATTTTGACAAGTCCTGCAGTAAAGAAGGTTCAACTTATTTGACCATGAAAACTTATTTTTCAAAAAGACGTATGTGTCATTCAGGATAATCTTCATAAAGCTGTCGTTTCAAACAACGTCTAAACCTCAATGGCTTAAAATAACAAAGTCTATTTCTTCTTCATGTTGAATATCTACTAGTGATTGATTGGAGATCCTGTGCTGCACAGTCCTTCTGGGAGCCACGGTGTCAAAGCAGCTGCCATCTAAGCATTTGGGTTGCTCTGTTAAAGAGAAGGTGAGGCTTCTCATCTCAGAGTCACACATAGCTTTGGAATTTGGGCTCATAATTCATTGGCTAGAACTAGCCACATGGCCCTTCCCAACACTAAGGGGTTAATGAAATACTATCCTAGCCTGCACCTGGAACGTAGACAGCCAGAAACAGTGTATTAGCACCACTAAGGACAAACTAATCCTGCTAACCCAACTGAACACTCTGAACACTGATGTTTATTAAAGTACAGTTGGGACCCACTGCTGTTCATGATCTTAATTACAAGGATTGATAGTTACTATTAAAGAATTTTTAGCGTCTGTTACTAAAGTTGCATGACCATACTCAGGAAGAATTGGAAGGCTTGTTTTTTTAAACATTTACTGGGGGAGTGTTTTGGAGGATATTATGAAAACAATGTCTCTTCACTTATAATCTCCAGTGGATTTCCCACAACAGATAATAAAATGATTTTCCAGCCATTTCCTCATTGCCTCTCTCAAATACAAATATTACATAACAGAAACATGGATAATTTTATAACACAGCCTATTTCTAGACTGCTAGAGAGAGGTACTATATATCATAAATGCCTAGTTACAGTATCTTCTGCACAGGTGTATAGAGAGTTAATACTATCATCAGATAAGTCTCATAATAATAGTAATAAAGTTGGCATAGGACTCATCTAAACAGAAAAAAATCAAATGTGTTTTGTGCTCCTATCCTAACCTCTGAAAATTAACTCTGATGAAGTCTACTGAATCAAATTATCTGTCTTGGCATCTTGTTTGATAGCTGGTCATAAGTGTATCACCTAAGGACCATACAAAAAAAGGCAATGATTAGGCTCAGAAATAAATACAGGTTCTCAGATGTTATCACCTGCATAAAAAGCACAATAAAGGTGCTTATCAAAGGTCATTCGAGAGTCAATTTTAATTCACTGTTTCTGTGAGAAAAACAGGCTGTTAAATTTGTATCATTTTCTCAGCCACTTCCAAGTTCATCTCCAGTTCTACCTTATATATTTCTTTTATACAACCATAATTAAATAACCTAATACATATAAAATGACTTAAGCAGTGTTTAGGACATAGTGGTTACTAAGTCTTGGTTATTATTACTGTTTCATGTCTTACAAATGATGCTTTTTGTCACATGCCTGCAGAGGATCTAAAGTGTGATTTGCTTTAGCAAATTTGATCCATTGCTCCTGGGAGGGAGAAAGTCTAATATCCAAGGCATCCTCTGCATTGCATTTTTCTTATTGAAGACAGAAAAGGCGAATGACTATAGAAGTGATCAAAGTAATCAAGAACATTTATGTCTACATTTAGATAAATGCCCCCATACTATTGCTTCAAATAATAAATGTTGAGAACAAATTAAAAGTAACTTTTGATAACCGACACAAAGATGCACTAATGAAAACAGGCTTGCCTTCACACTGTATATCTCCAGACTGTGGCAAATTTATTGCAACATTATTGAAGCATTATTGAAGCATTTTGGTAAATATTTTATTTTTATAATAATGAATCTGATAGCTCTAAAATCTTTTGGTTCAGCTTACACCATCCATATTTTCTTCATTCCACTCACTTAATGTATTGTCTTCCAGTCTGGGTATTTCTGCTGGTGCCTGGTCAAGAGAAGTTGAATCTTTGTATTTCATAGAACTCACGTCAGAAAGAATCTCAGCTCTGGAGCCCTTTCCTCCCCAGGATGCTTTCAATACCACCCTGAGGGAAAAAACAAAAAACAAAAATATGAAATAAGACAAAAACTAATGAGATTCATATTCACAGTATATAAAAAGTAAATATATTTACCTACTACATATTTATATTATCTATTTACTTTCATGTTTACATTATATGTGATATTAACATTATATACAACATATATATAGAATTGCCTTTTATCTGCAATACAATTTTAGTTTGTGATGTATCTGCTTCATTGTGATAGTCAATGAACCCTTAGACTTACCAAGGTGTTATTCTCATACAGACATTCTATTTTCATAAAAACCAGTCGGTACATTTCAATAACCAAATTTTATCATTGTGAGAACTATAACTGGACAACACAAATATTCATTTAATAAACTATTTTTTATTTTAGCAATGGCTTTGTACCATAAAAATTTCACTTAAAATCTCTCTCTTAAAAGCCATGCAATTGTTTTATTTGTTTGTTTGATTTTGGTACCGGGGATAGAACTTGGGACCTTGCACTTTCGAGCCGGGTGCCGGAACCACTGAGCTAAATCCCTGGCCCTCATGTGATTGTTTTAAAAAGCATCCACTTGCCGAGATTTAGCTCAGTGGCTCCACACCTGCCTTGCAAGCACAAGGTCCTTAGTTTGATCCCCAGTACAGGAGAAAAAAAAAGCATTGACTGGGTGTGGTGGTACATGCTTATAATCCCAGCACCCTGCGAGACTGAGGCCTGAGGATCACAAGTTCAAGCCCAGTCTAGGCAACTTAGTGATTTAACGAGACACTATCTCAAAATAAAAATTAAATTAAATTGAATTAAAAAGGGGGCTGAAGATGTAGCTTAGTGTGAAGGCCTAGGGTTCAATCTCTAGTACCACCAGAAATAGAAAGACAGGAAAGAAGGAAGGAAGGAGGGAAGGAAGGAAGGAAGGAAGGAAGGAAGGACAGGGAAGGGAAGGGAAGGGAAAAGAAGGGAGAGATGAGAGAGAGAGAGAGAGAGAGGAAGTAGCCCAAACTAGAATGGTCACAGGACCAATAAAAGGAGTTGGACAGATTCAAGATACATTTAGGGGACATTATAGACAGCATTTTGCAGTTTACTGGTAAGGGAGGGGATGAGGAAGAGGATGTCGAAAGTGACAATACAGCCTAGCGATTCACCTACCACTTTATAATTATGAAGATCAATATGAAGATTATGAATATACAGGCAATGACTTCTATGGTCAGCACAAATACTAGGGCTATATCAATGTCTGGTTGGCTTGATCTCATCTGCATTTCTAAAGAAAACAAACAGAATTATTTCCACTAAAAATAAAGAAATGAGTATCTTAGTGGAAAGTTTATATTTGAAAAAAATGTAGAAAAATACAAAAACCATTAGAAGAAAGAAAATTCTTAGTGAAATTTCTCTGCATGTTTAAAATATTTTTTAAACACAGAAAAATGTTGAAAGAACTTGACAATGGACATGCATATCACTACCACCTATCTATCCCATTAATGCAGTATTTTGCAATTTCTTTATTCATCCAGTCCTCTATAAATCCATCAATTCACTTAATTTTTCATGAATTCCCATACAGTTTGCAAACATTTACACAGTTTCCCAAAATTCATCAGCAGGGCTATTATTACCTGGAGTACAGCAATGGCTTACATTTTTTCTTTGCAATACAACCTACATGTAATGAACTGCACAAAGATTTTAAGTGTACATTTGCTTAGGTTTGGTAAATCCAAACATACATATGTAATCCAATGCTGATCAAGACAGAATATCATTAAACCCTAGGAAATTCTCTTGAGCCCTGTCCCAGTTAATCCCTGCTTCATCCTCCAAATGCAACTACTATCCTGATTTTCTTTTCAAGCATAGATTAGTTCTTCCTGCTCTACAATTTCATATGAATAGGAAAATATACTACGTGCTCTTCTACATTAAAATGATTTTTCCTTCTTAGCACAATGTTTTAGAGATTCACCATATTGTTAGATATGACTCTAGCTTGTCCTTTTTATTCTGAATAGTATATTGCAGATTATTCTCCCACTGATGGGGACTTCGGTTGTTCTAGATGTGGGATATCACATAGAAAGTACCGTGAACATTCCTGCACAAGTCATCTTGACAACATTTACTTTCAGTACTCTTGGATAAATACTTAACAGTGGAATTGCCATAGGATAAATGTATGCTTAGTTTTCTAAGAAATTGTGAGAAGACCCTGGGTTCAATCATAAGTACTGAAGAAAAAACAAAACAAAACATCCAAACTACTGCATTTCCCATTAAAATTTTCCTAAAAAAAAAAAAACAGGCTGAGGTTCCAGCATGGCCAGCCCAGAGGAAAGGCCTTCCTGGGGACCATTCCACCAAGCCTAGCCCAGAAAAAGGGGCTTCCAGGGCAGCCATTCCACTGCTCCCAGCCCAGAGGAGGTGAGCCATGGGGGCACCAACAGCACTCGCCTCCCCTGTTAAAATGAGAAGACACATAAACAAGTCTCAAAACCAAACTTCCAGATCACCTATAGCAGCCCCTAAGGGAAATGAGATGGAACACTCTGATACTCAACCACCTGAACTCCCTGAAATGGCAACAAAAGAGGAACTAGAAAAAAAAAATCAGAAATAATTTCTCATATAACAGCAGAGATGGTGCTCATAATGCAAGACATGATTAATAAATCTGGAGAAGAGCTGAGGAACATGATGGATTCCAAACATAGGAAACAAATGGAATCCATAAAACAGATGCAAACAGAATTCCAGGAGATCAAAAACTCCACTGAAAGTCTTCACAGCAGAATGAGCCAATGTGAGGACAGAATTTCAGATAGAGAAGATAAGATTGCAATTAGTGACCAGGAAAAGAAAAATTGCTTCAAAATTGTAAAGGACCATGAGAAATCACTCCAGCAGACGTTAAACGATGCAAAGAATAGCATAAGACTGATTGGAGTCAACAAAGAAACAGGAGAGAGTGCAAATGACATAAAAAAAAAAAAACTGTTCACAGAAGTAATGCCAGAAAACTTCCCAAGCAGGGGAAATGGGCTTGACATACAGATAAGGGCGGCATATAAGACTCCAACTAGCCTTGATCAAAAAAAATCTACACATAGGCACATAATAGTTAAGATTCCAGAAACCCAACAGAAGAACAAAATTCTACAAACAGTTAGAGAAAAAAACAAATCACATACAAAGGAAAACCCATCAGAATCACAGCAGACTACTCAATGCAAACCCTCAAGACAAGAAGAGCTTGGAGTGACATATTCCAAGCCCTAAAGGAAAAGAGCATCCAACCAAGATTGATGTACCCTGCAAAACTATCTTTCAAAATGGATGGAGAAATAAGATATTTTCATGACAAAGAGCACCTTAGAAACTTCATGAATACCAAACCAGCACCCCCAAAATTTTAGACAATATCCTAGGAACAGACAATGAGGATCACATCCCCAGGAAGCACAGCAGAATGAAGCCATCAGGAGTGACAAGAAATTAAATGTAAAGGGGGAGAATCCAACAAAAAGAAAAAGCCATGACAATGATAACTCAATATGTATCAGTTATAACCATCAATGTTTATGTTCTCAATTCACCATTCCAAAGACATAGACTGGCAGAATGGGTCAAGAAGCAAGATCCAACAATATGATGCACACAAGAAACATACTTAATTCGAAATGAAACTCATAGACTGAAAGTTAAAGGGTGGAAAACAATACTCCATGTGAAAGGAACCTGAGAAAAAGCAGAAGTAGCTATCCTCTTTGCAGATCAAGTAGATTTCAAACCAACACTGATTAAGAGAGACAAAGAAGGACACTATATCCTTGTAAAGGGAAGAATCCAAGAGGAAGAGATGACAATCATAAATATCTATGCACCAAACACTAGTGTGCCGAACTATATAAAATAAATACTAACAGACATGAAAAGTCATATATGCACAAATACAATCGTAGTGGGGGACCTCAATACCACACTGTCACAAATAGATGAACTAGACAAAAAATAAGTAATGAAATACTAGAACTCAATCAAACTCTGGAACAAGTGAACTTAACAGATGTTTACAGAATGTTCCATACCACAAACTCAGAATACACATTCTTTTCAGCTGCACATGGTCGTTCTCCAAAATAGACCACATACTCGCTCATAGACATTGTTTAAGTAAATGTAACGGAAATGAAGTTATCCCCTGTATATTATCAGACCATAGTCTGATGAAATTGGAGATCCATAGAAAAAGAAACTGCAAAAATTTCATAAACACATGGAAATTGAACAACACACTTTTGAATAACCAATGGGTCACAGAGGAAATTAAAGAGGAAATCAGACAGTTCCTTCAATTAAATGACAATGACAATACAACATATCGGAATCTA